CATGCCCTTGACTGGAATCGAACCTGGGACCCTTCAGTCCACAGGCTAATGCTCTATCCACTGAGCAAAACAGGCTGCAGCTTAATTCATTTACTTTTAATCTCTACATGTCTTTATATTTAAAGTGGGTTTTTTTTGATTCACCCTCATAATCTGTCTTTTAATTGGTGCATTTATGCCACTGACTTTCAGAGTGCTTACTGATAGAGTTACTACCATATCAGGTGGCTTCTGGGACTTCTGGGGTGGGGCTGCCTTGCCACCCAGGACCTGCCAATCGGTCCCAGGCAGCAAGGTGGGGCCGGCTCCTGGGGCTTCTCGGGCAGCAAGGTGGGGGCCAGCCTGCCCTGGATGGCGGAGTGCTGGCAGCTAGTGCTGTCCAGCCCTGCCTGCAGTATGCAAATCAGCTGCCATCTTTGTTGGTGGTTAATTTGCATATCACGCTGATTAGCCCATGGGAGGCGTAGCGAAGGTACCATCTATTACCATGCTTGTCTATTATTAGATAGGATTCTATAAATATATTTTAATGTCACTGTTAGAGTTAGCCAGCTATTTGATACCCTGGACAGAAGGTTTTTTTGTTTTCTAAAAAAGGTAGTTTCTAGCTTTCATTATTCCTAAACTAACAGAGGGAAACACCTAGACATTTTAGAACTTAACATTGCAATGGGTCTATATAGCTGCAATTCCATTTCATGAGGTACAGTTCAGCACAAAGAAGACTGGTTTGAAACCAAGGAATTCTGTAATTTGGTCCTACTACTGCTCTCTAGTGAGTTGTTGAAAAATTACTCAGAATGTGATATTAGAACTCACTATTATAAGAAATTACCCTGCAACAGAAAATCAGACAAACTGAAATGTACAATAGTAAACCTATTTTCCCTGAAGCATAAAAATGATAGAATTCAGATAATGTTTTTCTCCTGAATTGTTTTCTATAACCTATAAACCCAATAGTAACTAGCAGGCTATATAAGTACTCAGAATATATTTTCTTAGTATATAACGTTGGTCACATTAGCTCTAGGAGAAAATCAATGTATGTAAATGCATAGGCATAGAGGTACATATACATTGATATCTAAAACAGTCTAAGTCATAGCTCTATGTGACTGCAGTTATAACTGAATGGGAATATTCTCTCTCTCTTTTTTTAAGTGAATCACTGCAACGTAAAAACAAAAATTTTATCTTGTTTTGTTTCTTGGACTACTTGCCCCAGAAGGATTTTCAGCTTCAATTTTCAAAGGTATTTCGCAGAATCTTTCGAAAACTATAAATGAGTTCTTTACCTTTGTTCAAGTTTGACCATTTAAGTGCCACTCTGTAATGAACTGATAATAAGCAAATAATGCTAGGCTATGAACAATAAATCTTACAAAAAAATAAAAACAACCATACATTTTTGGGAAATCAAAAAGTTGGACGGTCTAATAAAAATTAGATAGCATCTCTCTAGGACTGATAAACACACTAAGATGTCCTTGAAAACAACTACTTTCAAAGAACAGCAACCAAAAGAAAGTATTTGGCGAGGACAAAGGTTTGCAATCAGAGATTTTTCCCTAAATACCCTCCCTGCAGCACACAAATCAGAATCGGCACTGTCTGCCTGCCTCTCACCCCTGACCTGTCCATTTTCATCACCAGAGCCCAGAACACCTCTAGCAGAGGGAAGCAGAAGACAAGGGGAGAAGGGGCAGCTCACCTCCCTGACTTTCTCAATGGCGTTGGTGAAGATGTAAATGATAACGAGCCACTCCTGCACACTGGGCTGAGGCTGCATCTCCACCAACACAGTGAAAGTGAACAGCATGAGGAACGCCAGATACGCCATCTGTGAGGGGGACACACATTCCCTGGACGTGAGTCATGGTCGTAATAGAGTAGGCCGAGCAGACAGGGACTGAGCTGGGCAGATACACACATGTGACCTTCAATGAGATAACGTGAAAATACAACCGGGACCGCCCTCTGGTTATCGATAACCTAATATGGAGGAAAACACAAGAATCCAGCTATCTATTCTAGGATTAAGTGACAGGTGTGAAAGTCATTGTTTTCAAATGCATGGGAAGGGGTCACTGTCCTGTCCTGTGAGCTTCTGACCAGAATTTCTGGAACACTGCACATTCTAGAATGGGCATTTTCAGGCTAACAGCAAGCCCAGACTGACTCACACACCTTCCTCTCCATTTAAATATAGAAATCGTGTGTATGCCAACCACACCAAATGACTAGTGTCAGCATGTGCCTATTTCCAAATATAATACATCATGGCATTTACTACTGCTGGGAGTTTTACTTTATGTTGACTAAAACATTCCGGTTAGTGGAAAAGTATTGTCCATCTTTATTACATTAAAGATTGTTGATGCTTTGATTTCAGCACTTGACCTGACACAATGGTAGACATTCAAGAATATGTTTAATTACTAACTGGGTATATTAAACATAGATTTCCAAACTCTTCAAAAAATTAAAATATAGTAAACACACACATACATATGTACTAGTGATAATAGCTTTGTAATATTTTCCAACATTTTATCTTAATATATATTCCCAGAAGTAAAAGAGCTGAGCACACACATTTAAAACTGACACGTTACCAAATTGCCCACCAGAAAATTGCTATGATCACTAACAATGAGATGGGGCAGCCCTTTATATAGCTTCAGAGACAATACACAATGCTAACTGATCAACACTTGTATTAAAAATCCCAGGTAGGTAGAGAGAAAAATGGGTGTATGTGGGTGTTTGTTCATCTCACAAGAATCATCTTATTTTTACCTTACATCCCTATTTATAATATCTTTTTTACTAGTAGCTCCACCTAAGTTTTATCAGTCTTCTAAGTTTAGCTCTACATAGAGAACAGTTGAAACCACTTCTGATTTACAATAGTGATAGTATATACCAGTGGTTCTCAACCTTCTGGCCCTTTAAATACAGTTCCTCATGTTGTGACCCAACCATAAAATTATTTTCGTTGCTACCTCATAACTGTAATGTTGCTACTGTTATGAATTGTAATGTAAATATCTGATATCCAGGGTGGTCTTAGGCGACCCCTGTGAAAGGGTCATTCGACCACCAAAGGGATCGCAACCCACCGATTGAGAACCACTGGTATATACAATAGGTGGTATTTTAGGCAGGCAGGGTGGATATTACTGCCTATGAGCTCAAGAGCTACAGTAGAAATGCCTATTAAAGTTAAGATAAAGTCTATTAATTGTATACTTCCCAGGGTCTCTGTCTCCAAGTCTGAATATGTTTGATGACCCCTTAGGGATGTAAGATAATAAATTTGTTCTATCAAGCAGTTATTTTTTACATTTTAGTCATTATTTCATGGTGGTCAGACACTGTTGATTGTGATATTGGTGGTATTGCTTCTGATTCTTTCTCTTCCCAGTTTTTAAAAAAGATGTAAAAATGTTTACATTTTTGCTTTTTCATCATAACATTTATAACAAGACACTGTTTGAATAAAGCACACACGCTGTAACCTAGCATAGCAACCTGACAGCCAAGACTAAAATTCCTGTGCTCACATTGGTTATGGTGGGAAGATGTGGCTGGCTTATTTGTTTTATTTGTAAGCAGTTTTTTTGTTGTTGTTTTATTTGCTTTGCTCCTGTCTCTAAGAGTTCGTAAGCTGTGAATTTCTAAGGAAAGAAATATCTGAATACTCTTTCTCCAATGATATGGCAATGGTTAAAATTCTCTCAGAGCTACTATCATAGTCTCTGGGATATTCTATTTCATATTCACAAAAATTATGAAATACCATTTGAAAGAGCTATGACTTTGGAAAACAGATGAAAGTCATTCAGCGTTATGTCCTTACACAATAATTATATAAAGTCCATGTGCAGTTGAGCAAGTAAATATTTTGAAATATAACACATGAAGGCAAATATCCTTTTACAGTCCCAATTCAAATGTTTTAAATTTTGGCCATGAGCAATTTATGTATAAATAAGCATTAGAAAAATAATGCTATTAAGTAAAAGTTAAAAGCAATCAATACATTGAAAGTACAGGTCAGGCTTTCTCTGAATCTCTGTCATCCGTAACAGGTTTTGTATTTGTTCATACAATTAACCTTCTACACTTTTACTGTTCTCTATATATTTATAAACATGTCTTGAAGGAAAAAAAACACACTTGCATTTTCTAGATTACACACTATTCCTACAGGGAAAAAATGGACGGAACTGCTGACGTTTTTTGCTCCAGCTGGGGAAGAGAATCCACCTCACCACCGTGGCTAATCGTAGTGTGCCACTAAGCTTGACATGCTCAGTCCCGGCCTGCCAATGGGACGCACTCAGCACTTGAGAAAGAACATGCTTGTTCCCTCACTCCCAAACTGGGAGAGCTCTGTGCTAACTTTTACTCACCTCCCTCCAATCTTCTTTTCTACTCTTTGTTCCTTCCTCCCCCGACCCTTTTTTTACTGCAATTCTAGCTTTTATCACAAGTTGACAAATCAGGCATATCACCAATGTTATCATTAGGGATTAACCATCATAAATTGTTATGATGAAACCAACCGTATAAAACCAAAACTTGACAATTGGAGCGCTGTAGAACTCATAGACCTTCCTGGTCAAGGGAAGGGTCTGGGGACCACTCCTAACAACAAAGTGATGGTTTTCATCTAGCTTCTCATCAGAGCCCCTCTCCATATCACAGTCTTTCTGTAAAATAAACAAATAATTTATTGTCAGGGGCTTATCTAAAATATGGACATACCAAAGTATCCAAAAAAGATCATAAACATATGTAATAGACATATCAGGAATTAATTGGGCATCCACCTGCCAAATTATAATCTTAATCTTCAAAGGAAAGAAAAGTACATGTATTAGATAAGTCTTTAACCAGGTAAGGAACACAGGGTATTCCTGAAATGCAATCTGAGTCTCTAATAATCAGACCTACTCAAACTTAGGGCAGTAGCAAGGATTTTTAAATGGTCCCTGTTCCTGATCCATTTAGTCTCCTTTATCAGTATTTGGAACCTATGGATATTCATAAAAGTCCCACAAAATCAATAACCAATAATATAATTATTTTCAGCCTATAGGAGAACAAAATTGACAATCCCTGATAACACATCTGTTCCAATTCCTAAGAAAGTTGGATGCTGAGTTAGTTTTGGGATTCTGGCTTTGAGAGCTTCTCTACTCTTTTACAGCAAAGGTTCTTTCCCTGAAGTTCATGGACTCTATGAACTTCATGCAAGTATTTGTGTTGTACATGTATTTTTCTGGGGAAAGCATCAAATCTTTCATCATTTTCTCAAAAGGTATGTGTCAGCCCAAAGGGATTAGCCCTGCAGGTGATGAGTAATATGTATCTGTGTGGCAGAGAAGTGTTCGCGTGAGAAGTGACTATACAGGTGCCCACACAGGAGAGGCTTTAGAAATAGGGGCAAAAAGAAATAAAAAGAAAAAAGCACCTGCAGCCTGGTTGCTTTTGAAAAGAGGAAATTCAGGGATAATGAAAAAGAAGCCAACGAGACTTCATCCTCACTCTATAGAGTTTTGTATGGTTAATTTTTAAGCAGAAAATGCATTACTTTTCTGATTTTTTAAAAATTAAATAAAAAGAAATGCTATCCAATGCCTCTCAGACTAATACATTTCTTCAATCCATCCACAAAAGATCTCTCTCTAGCGTTAGATCCGCAAGATCAGCAACAGTTTTTCAAGCTAAGAAATAAATCACGTTTTGCCTGTTGTCCATATAAATGAAGGAAAATGTAATTTTGAGGCTTCAGCATCTAGAAGGGTTATCTCAATGCCTGATGTGAGTGTCATTCACGTCACTTTGGGCAGGAGATGGGGTTGTGACTTAGAGGTGCAGGAACAGACCTGGTTCCTGACAGGTCTGAACCAGCCCACAGTTAAAATGGCTTAGAACATATTACAAAGTCATCATTTACTATGATTTTTTTTGAAGTATTATATATTTTTTAATTGTTTTATTGCTTAAAGTATTACAAAGGGTATTACATATGTGTCCTTTTTTCCCCCCGCCCTTGACAATCCATTTACTATGATTTTAATGACATCACTACCACAGCAGAAAGACCCCAGAAAGCAATTTAAATAACGACCTTATTATTAACTTCCCTTACTATTTTTTCCAGGAGTGTTTCATTAGGTCTTTAATTACTCTTGGCATTTTGATATGAATTATGAAGTACTAATTGATCCTAACTTTGAGCTGAATTCAAAGATGTCATCTTCTATAACAACAAAACAAAACAAAAACATGGGAGTATAAATTTAAATTCAGGACTTTTTTTCCCTTAGAATAGGTAAACACCAGAATGTTTTTCTTACCTTTTATTCTACTCAAATCTCTCTCTCTCTCTCTCTCTCTCTCTCTCTCTCTCTCTCTCTCTCTCCCTCTCTCTCTCTCTCTTGCCTCCCCTATCATCCTCTCTCCCTCTTCTCTTCTCTCTCAAATAGGAATCTGATACCAGCAAACACACAGAAGAAATTTATAACTACAAAAATAAGCTCCACTACAATTCATGCCTACTTTCTACTGTATTACAGTCACCATTCCCACTTAATGATGCTCTGATAAAAATACATTATTATTCAATTTTTAAAAATGGTTTTGTGATTCAGCAATATGTCTAAGACTAAGTTCATCTTTCCTCTTCAAAACCTGCTCTTTTCCCAGGCATCCCTAGATCACTCTAAAGATGGTCTTGTTGTAACCATCATCTCAGTAACATTTGCTATCTCCCTCTTGCCCAGGTTCCACGTTCAGGCCCTATTTGACCCTTCGTTTAAAATCTGTCTTTTCTTCTCCACGCCCATTGCTACTAACCCTGGATAAAACCCTTATTACTTCTCACCTGGATGGTCACACTAGCTTGTTTTCTCCCTGCATCCAGTAGTCTTCTTGCTGCATCATCCTATACACTGGAGGCAGAATAATTTTCCTAATAGATCACCTTGACACTCTGGTCATATATGGTCACTGGCTCATCATTACTTACAGAATAAGAACCATATTCCTTCACAGGATATGCAAGAGTCTCCATGGCCTAGGCTCATGCTGTCCCAGCCACACCTGCAAATATTCCCTCCTTGCTCCACGTCCACCATAACCTGGACTCTAACCACACCACACAACTTATGATGCCTGATATACACCTTGCATGTCCTGCCTCTGGGTCCCTACCTGTAGTCTCCCTCCACTGAAATGCTGTTTTCCCTCTCCATATCCTCAAGTCACAGTTCAAACACTACCTCAATCATGAGGCCGCCTGCAGAAATGGGATATTTTGCTTAATTATACATGGGAGTTAAATTTATCATACATACTATACTCTCTCTCTCTATAATGTGATTGTTAAATAAATGTTAAATAAATAAACTTGGTGCATGTGTGCACTGTGCACACCATGAGAACTCAGTTTACGACGACAGTGCACTAACCACACAAGCATTCTCCTTGGTACTGCTGGGGTTCTGGTCACCATTATGCCACGTAAACTGGAAATCCTGGGACTGGGGAACGTGGGACATCTCCGCTTTGCTTTTAAATTCCAACGTCAAAATGGTGGGTGGCAAAAGAATACTTATGATGATCTTTAAAAGAAAACAAAGCAGAACACATAGTAGGGGTTAAAAAAGGCACAGTATTATTCAAATAACAAAATTAAAATTTTAGTGTATATAAAATGTCAGACCCATGACCAATTCAATTGATATCCTGATTCTTTACAAACTTTTTAACTCAACAATTCCAATTATAGAGGCATCTCCTCAGAAATACGCATGAATGCATATATGGATAGGGATGTTTGTGGTAGAGTTATTTGTGATAGGAAAGAACTGATGTCAACATAAATGTGCACCTATAGAGGGTAGCTGGTGTGGGACAATCTAACAGTGAAACACCATATAACCATTAAGATGACAAAAGCAGCCCTAGCCGGTTTGGCGCAGTGGATGGAACGCCGACCTGCAGACTGAAGGGTCCCAGGTTCGATTCCGGTCAAGGGCATGTGCTTTGGTTGCAAGCACATCTCCAGTAGGAGGTGTACAGGAGGCAGTGGATTGATGTTTCTAACTCTCTATCCTTTTCCCTTCCTCTCTGTAAAAAGTCAATAAAATATATTTATAAAAAAAAGAGACAAAAGCAATTTTGAGTATGATGAAAAGGTATCCAAGTTATATTAGGTGAAAAACCAAGTTTAGAGAACAATACAGCATGATTCCATTTTTGTAAAAAAAAAAAAAAAACAACAACAACAACAAAAAACCAGACAAAATATATATGCATATACATATATTCACTTAAAGGTTTTAAAATACATACATAATAATCATCCATATCCACAGTTTCACTTTCAGTTTACCCACAGTTAACCATGGTTGAAAATATTAAATGAAAAATTCCAAAAACCAAACAATTTATAAGTTTTAAATTACACACCATTCTGAGTAGCGTGATGAAACCTCAAAATATCCCCCTTTGTCCCACCAGGGACATGAATCATCTCTTTTTCCACAAAGATGGATCTATGTGGAATAATTTATGATTGACTTTTAGCTTATTTCTGCAATCTCATTAGTGGAATTAAAATGTGCAAGCTCTTTTACATATTTTATATCTTATATCTTTTATTTCTTTGTGTTTTCTATAGTGTATCCACAAAAAAAATACTTTTAAGAACAGTCATTCTATTTGGGACACACCACATTTTTAAGATCTGTAGGAAGAATAAAATTAAAATATAAAATATAAGCTTACAGCGCTCTTAATGTTCAGGCTTTATCCCTTTTTTCAGTTTCATAAGCACATGCATTTCTTTTTTAAAAATTTATTTTTTTTATTGATTTTAGAGAGGAAGGGAGAGGGAGAAGGAGAGGGAGAGATAGAGACATCAATGAGAATCATTGATTGACTGCTTCCTGCATGCCCCCTAGTGGGGATCAAGCCCAAAACCAGGCATGACCAGGAATCAAACCATGACCGCCTCGTTCATAGACTGACACTGAACCACTGAGCCATACCAGCTGGGTAGCACATGCACTTCTTACGCTTAACCATAATCTAAAGCTGTAAGCTTAGGTTTAATGTCAAAAGTTAAATGTCTTTAGTAGTTACGTAATTACTCTTGATAATTCAAGACGAGAGATGAGGCCAAACTGTAATGGAACAGAAGAATTTGGAGATAGTGGTGTGAACAAGTGTATTTGAGGGCAACTTTATAAAATAGCCATTTATTCCCTGAAAGACCACATTGAATGAGCAGAACAACAGAAATTGCTAATTTCATTTAGTTTATTATCAGTTGCTATTCTGAAGCTGAGCAAAATTTCACTAAAAATATCTCATTTATTTGTTGTAATTATCAGCGACAGCAGTTCGCTACTAATGTAATCTTGCATATGTTTTTAACGTCGTCTAGCCATCTCTGTGAGAATGCCTTTGTGATGGGACAGAGCTGGTACGATTATCCCACTTTTTAAGAGAAACTGTGGTCATAGGAGACAAAGTAGTTGTCAGGTCTCAGCTCATCTTTAGGAATCAATGCTATTAACTCATTTACTGAAGATATTCTTCTGGAAGAAGGAAAAAACTGAACCCAAGAGTACAGACCTTCAGACAAAACTAATATTAAATTCTATAAAGCAAGTGAAGGTACCTTTAACCAAGAGATCTTCCTCATTTTCAGGCGCCCCATCCACATGTCCGTCAGTAGCATTTGGGTACAAGTGTGCGAAACAAAGGGCCGTAGCCCTCCGGACACGGCCAGTTTCAAACAAGTAGAATTGCTCCAGTTCTTGAGTTCATAGGTCAGCAGCTTCATGGCCATTCTCTCATTCTGCTTGAATGCCTTTTCCAGCACGTCCAAGGCAAGCTGGCCGAACTGCCTGTAAGGACACAGTGGTGAGTGACCAAAACAAATGCAGGTGAGAAGCCCAGAAACATTCGAAAAGATAAGATCAGAGGCTCAGAAGAGAGCAGACAGCAATTTGAAGGATCTCAGTTTGCAGAAGTGATTGTAAAGGGATTGCCGCTCAGGAAATGGATTGTTGTCCCTTTCTTGAAGGAACAGAACCAGAGGGCTTACTTCCATGTGACAGAGAATCTGTCCACACCAGGAGTGCCTGAGCTATGCCTGGAAGAAGCCACTTCACACCACAAAACAGGCAACACGGAGCTTGGTGAGGGCTCCCTGATAAGACCTACTAAAGAATTTTTTACGGAAAATACTGTTCGAAACTGGCTAGCAATTAAGGAAAACTGTGATCTACTTTTTAAAAAAGATTTTATAAAATTTATACATGACTTCAGGAAGAACCAGACCCAGAGACATTTTTTCTGGAAGGTTGTTTTCACTGAAAAGTAGACAGTCATTCTCTGGAACTTTTTAAATAAAAATTATAAATGTGTTTCTATTAACTTCAGCTTCCATTTTCCTCACTACTATAATGCTTTCATAATTAAAAAAAAAATCAAAAAACATTTCTAACCTTCCTATCTTCCAACGTCACACTCTGGTTCTTTAATATATAATACATTTATTTGTTTTTCTGCCTGAGAGATACTTAAAGTAAACCACGAGTTTGAATTTAACTTAGTATCCAAGAGTTTGAGAGTTGAGAGGGACTTTCTAAATCATTAACTGGACATTTTGCAATGAGGAAACTAAAGTCCCAAAATCTACTCAACTGACTTGCCCAATTAGTAGGCAGCTGCACTAGAATTAGAACCCAAGGCTCCTGACTTGAAGTTCCATCTCTCTTCCCTTTCTTCCACAAAGCTGCTTAAAATACCTAAAAACCTTATTTATAGGATAGTGCGCGAAATGCCAGGGCAACAGGTCCATTCATCTCACACGTTCTAAGGTGAGGGAGATAAAAGTGTCTAACCGTTCTAAGAACTGTCGATGTTTAGTATGTAGTGAAGAGAGAACTCCTACTTTGAGTAATTTTTCATCTCTTCCGAGGCATCATCCACCATGTTGCTCTCCTTAGCCTCACGGGCCATGGCTCGGTAGAGTATGTAAGCAATCACCGCCTTGACCATGGCCTCCACTCCGTGCTGCCAAAAGAACATGGCCATCTTCTGCCTTTTCATCAGCACAGCCCAAACCAGCAGGTCATTGTAAGGGTAAATAAAGCCAGTAGACTCAGGGTCATCGGATATATTTTGTTCTTTTGACTTCTTCCTTGATTTATGAAGGACTATAGGCTTTTCCTGTTGGGAAATAAAATAGGAAAGGTTTCTAAATACTCAGGTACATGACATTCTACATAATGAAACAAGTCAGGTACCCTAGAGATGGAAATAATAATAATAGAACTTTAGTTCCCGCATATAAGTGAAATCATATCATATTCTACAGAACAATATAAACAAACAACAGGCTCAGAGATACAGAAAACAGAAAAATGGTTGCCAGGGGGAAGGGAGGGCTGGGGAACTGGGTGAAAAGGGTGAAGGGATTAAGAGGTGCAAATTGGTAGGTACAAAACATTCACGGGGATGAAAAGTACAGCATAGGGAATATAGTCAAAATATTGTGATGTGTGGGGCCAGGTGGGTACTGGAATTATCAGGGATGAACGCTTTGTAAAGTGGTTGTCTGACCACTATGCTGGACACCTGAAACTAATACAAAGTGATACTGAATGTAAACTGTAATTTAAATAAATAATTGTCAAGAGCAGTTAAAAAATATAATAGAACTTTATAAACCAGAAACCAAAACTTTGGCCTCTAAAGTAACTTATTGCTTGTTGTAGCTAATAGTTCCAGGGTCCCTAAGCTGAGATACGATAAGTTCATTTAGTACAACTTAAAACACTACACCTTTGGAACAGAGCCACTGAATATGTGACGACTTTTAATTTCCCAAGGAAATGGGTTGAAATAACCAACTGGATAAGTGGCAACTATTAAAAAAAAAACCTCTAGCCCTAACCGGTTTGGCTCAGTGGATAGAGTGTCAGCCTATGGACTGACGGGTCCCAGGTTCGATTCCAGGCAAGGGCATGTACCTTGGTTTCGGGCACATCCCCAGAAGGGGTTGTGCAGGAGGCAGCTAATCAATGTTTCTCTCTCATCGATGTTTCTAACTCTCTACCCCTCTCCCTTCCTTTTTATAAAAAATCAATAAAATATATTTTTTAAAAAACAACTCTAACCTCACCTGACAAATGATTCCTATCCCCTTAGAAAAATGTCATTAATGTTGCCAACATGCATCCAAATAGATTGGTTTTAAGTTTTCTTTATTCTGATTATATTCCTCTAGTGAGAGGAACGGGTAATGATGAAATACTATTCTCCACCTGGTAAACCCATCATTTATAGCTCATCTCAAATGCTGCTCTCTAACCTGCCATGTTCATCTGTAACACTGCGTATGTGTCTCAATAGCAATGTCCATCATACTGCAGTATGGAAATTACTTTGGGGCGGGGAGGACCATTTCTCAATTATCATTATATTTTCCCTAACCCACTTGCAGTCCAAATTCAACCAAGCACCCAACATAGTGCCTGGAAACTAATAAGATTCAATAATTCTTTTTTATTAAATTGGGGGGGGAGGGTAATAGCAAAAATTATAACAAGCTTCCTCTATTTCTATAAATAAAGTTTGTATTCATTGACGATAATTAAGGGTAATTTTATTTTAAAAGACTTTCATTCTAGGAGCTGTGGACAGCAAATCTCTTTCAGCCAATATAGGAACCATTTATATGGAAACTCTTGAGCAACGCATTCATCCCCAGAGGCAAGTGGGACTGAGGTTGTATAGCAAGAGGGAGAATAACCGGAAAAAGAGGGAGGGGGATAACAACATTGTGTGCATGCGCGTGGGCGCACACATTATCATTTTCATACTGTAACATTAAGCTAAAATTAACTGTAAGAAAGCCTCAAAGGGGAAAAATTAAGATGTAAAAGAGTAATCGAAGAGAGAAGTAAAGGAGAAGGAAGTAGTCATATCCAATTAGCCGCAGGGAAAGGGTATTAGGGTTTGGTGTTGGGTTAACAGTTACATTTTTCATGCCATCCCATGGACTGCCTTCCCGAGTCACCATCCGGACCAGGTGGCAGTAGGAACAAGGAAGACAGCCTGAGGTGCCAACCCCGGGTACTCTTTAGTTCCCAGTGCTCTGTCCTAGGCCTTTGCTCATTGTTATAAGGCAGCTCTGTTATACTTTCATTTGCACCATCTGTTTATGGTACTTGTTAATGGGTCCTCTTTTTGTATCTCCCTTTCTCCAATTTTAACCCCTTGAGTGCCGGGGGTTAAAATCGTGCTCCTCCTATCTTTCGCCAAAAGTGCCGGGAGCGCTATCAAAGCTTCGAAATGGCGTCCAGTTCTAAGTCTGCCTTTATTAGTGATGATGATATTGCTAAATATGTCAATGTAGTAAAGGTTTCCTTAAGTTTTTGAATATGTAACTTCATTTACTTGCGATTCATAATTTTTTTCCTAAACTGCTGTAAAGTCAGCAAAAATGCCCTGGCAATTTTAGCATAGTTCCTGGGATATTGGTTGGCACTCAGAGGGTTAAAGGAAGAAATGGTCTCAGTAGGCAAGAACAATTTTCTTTTCAAACGTAAAAATAAGAAACAGTACCTTGAGTTTGTAAGGCTGGGCGGTTCTGATGAACTGGGAATGCAGCGTGCTTTCTGCAGATTCCTTTCTCTTTCCTGAGGCACATCTCCCGGGAGCAGGGGACTGGGAAAGGCTCTGAGCAAAGCCGGTCGCTCGCTGGCATATAGTATTTTATTTTTAAAATAAAACAAAAAGGGGAAAAAGGAGATTATAATTATGACAATTAACACTGTATTTCTAGACAGTAATGAACACCAAATATGGTATTGTGTCCTACCAAATATCCCATGGTATTCTCTCATCCGGGATTAATAAGTAATCATTAATCAGATTAATTACTCACTGACCCAAAAAGAGCCTCCCATGATCTCCTTCTTATTAAGGGCACTGTTATTTCCCAGCACCTTAGGAAACGTGCTCTTTTGTTCCCTATTATGGATCTGCATTCCTTCTCAATGTGGAAATTCCATTAGAAATCAATGGATGTTCCATACCTGGAACAAGCTCAGAATAGGCAATAAAGATACACAGTTCTGATAAGGAAAAGTCCCCACTCACAAACAGCTGCCAGGTTAAGGTTAAGTTAGGAAGTTGTGGAATCTCTCCACGTGTTATATAAGATCGCCACCGGAATTCCAGTGGCTCAGCACAACAAAACTCATTGCATTGCCCTAACCGGTTTGGCTCAGCGGATAGAGTGTCGGCCTGCTGACTCAAGGGTCCCAGGTTCAATTCCGGTCAAGGGCATGTACCTTGGTTGCGGGCATATACCCAGTGGGGAGTGTGCAGGAGGCAGCTGATCGATGTTTCTCTCTCATCCATGTTCCTAACTCTCTATCCCTCTCCCTTCCTCTCTGTAAAAAATCAATAAAAGATATTTTAAAAAAAAACTCATTGCGTGAACCTTTAATCAATGAGAAAGAAAAACAAAGAGAAACATTGGTAAAGGGACAAATATAAAGTTTATGGTACAAACCCTAGGCTTTGAACTATTTTATTTATTTTTAGTTTCTGTTTTATGGATATAAATTAGAATAAAAGTGATGGGGTGAAGACTTTTTAAAGATAGTACTGAACTTATTATTATTGTGATAAAGAATTAATTAGTATCATCAGTGATAATCATGAGAATTATTATTAACAGTTACTCGATACCCACTATGAAAAAAAAACTAAAATATGGGTTTTTCAGTTATTGTTTTAGTTAGTCCTTTTGATAAATTTACAAAAGGAGTATTGTTATTCCCCTTTTATAGATAAGGAAACTGGCACACAGAGAAGTTAAGTTTCTTGCTCAAGATTACACAGCTACTAATGAGCAAAACAAAGCTTCAATTCCAGATCTCTCTGACTCCAAACCATGTATTTGCAACTGCATGATT